CAGAAATATATATTGATCTAAGAAGATACCAAGCTGAGAGATAAACTCATGCACCTAAAGGTACCTTTTCTTTCACAAAGGAGGCAAGAATATAATGTGGATAAAAGACAGAAATGAGAGCCTCTTCAATAAGTGGTGCTGGGGAAACTGGACAGCTACATATACAAGAATCAAATTAGAACACTTCTTAGCACTATATGCAAAAGTAAATGCAAGATTGAATAAAGACCTGAATGTAAGGCCAGAAACTATAAAACCTTAGAGGAAAACATAGGCAGAACATTCTTTGACATACATCAAAGCAAGATCCTCTTTGACCCACCTCCTAGAGTAATAGAAATGAACGAAGAAACAAAGAAACAAACAAAAAACACACAAATGGCATTTAGCTAAACTTCAAAGTATTTAAGCAGCAAAGAAAACTATAAACGATGAAAAGACAACTGTCAGTATGGGAGAAAATAATTGCAAATGAAGCAACTGAAAAATGATTCATCTCAAAGGTTACAGGTGGATCATACAGTTTGCTATCAGAAAAACAAACAACCAGTTAAGAAATAAGCAGAAGACTTAAACAGACATTTCTTCAAAGAAGACATTAAGAGGGCCAACAAGCATATGAAAAGATGATAACCCTGCCCATTATTAAAGAAATGCCAATCAAAACTACATGAGCTCTCATGTCGCACCAGTTAGAATGGCCATCATCAAAAATTCTACAAACAATAAATGCTGGACAGGAAATGGGGAAAAGAGAAGCGTCTTGCACTGTTGGAGGGAATATAAATGGATATAGCCAATTAGGAGAACACTATGGAGGTTTCTTTATAAATGAAGAATAAAACTATCATATGACCAAACAATCCCCTCCTGGGCATATACCCTGAAATAATAATAATTGAAAAAAGACATGTACCCCAATGTTCGTTGCAGCACAATTTACACAGCCAGGGCATGGAAGCAACCAAGATGTCCATCGACAGATGCATGGATAAAGAAGTTGTGGAACATGTACACAATGGAATATTACTGAGCCCTCAAAAGGATCAAACACAAGTAAGTTTAATGGAGGTGGATGAATCTAGAGCCTTTGATACAGACTGAACTAAGTCAGAAAGAGATAAACAAATATCATATACCAGTGCATATATATGGAATCTTGGGAAATGGTACTGGTGAACTTTTTTGCAAGGCAGAAATAGATACACAGATGCAGAGGAAAGACTTGTCTGCCTAGCTATGGTAGGACAGGGTATGACAAATTGGGAGAATAGCATGGAAACATAGCCAGTACCATATGTAAAATAGCTAGCTAGTGGGAAGTTGGTATATAATGTAGGGAGCCCAACACAGTGCTCTGTGATGACCTAGAAGGGTGGGATGGCAGGAGGCGGGAGGGAGGCTCACCAAAGAGGAGATATATATACTTACAACTGATTCGTGTTGTTGTATGAGGGAAAGCAACTAAACATTGTAAAGCAGTTATTCCTCAATTAAAAATAAATAAATTTGAAAACTCTCACTCTATATATCTGCACTATCATCTAAACTCTACGGGATCATGTTCTATTCATAGCTACTTTCCCAATATATTTTAGTGCTTATTCATTCCTTAATGATTTTGAAATATGATTTTAATAGCTACACCCTATTCCTCAATATCTTACATAAATTAGAAAGTTTTCAGCCCTCATCATAGAAATATAACACCAAAATAGATTTATATTTAAAATTAAACCTTTCATGTCAAATTCAGTTTAAAGAGAATTCCTCTGAAGATCTAAAATTCTTATGAAAAGTCATTATTTGGAGGGGTTTTTTTTTCATCTTTTATGCTTTATTGTCATTTTGTTCTAACGACTCTTTTATTTCTGTAATCTTTCCTTTGACTGTAGTTTTTCAGTGAATTAACATTTTAAATTTAAATTTAAAGAATGTCAAAAGGGACTCTTTTGTGTGTTAGTCACTCAGCTGTGCCCAATTCTTTGTGACCTATGGACTGTATCTTGACAGGCCCTTCTGTCCGAACAATGCTGCTGGCAAGAATACTGGAGTGGGTAGCCATTCCCTTCCCCAGGGGACCTTCCTGACCCAGAGATCAAACCTGGGTCTCCCGCATGGTAGGCAGATTCTCTAACATCTGAACCACCAGAGAAGCCTGACCATGGTGTAAACAGATGCAGACATCCTCAAAAGAATATTAGCAAACCAAACTCAAGTATACATTGAAAGAATCATACACTATGCTGCTGCTGCTGCAAAGTCACTTCAGTCATGTCCGACCCTTAGCAACCCCATGGACTGCAGCCTACCAGGCTCCTCTGTCCATGGGATTTTTCAGCGGAGAGTACTGGAGTGGGTTGCCATTGCCTTCTCCATCATACACTATAATCAAGTGGAATTATTTCTAGGGATGCAAGGATGACATTATCTGTGAATCAATCAATGTGATACAGCATATGAACAAACTAAAGAATAAAAATCATATGATCACCTCAAAAGTTGCAGCAAAAGCTCTTGATCAAGTGTAATATCTATATATCATTCCAACTTTCAGTAAAGTGTTTATACATGGAACATACTAAAGGCAATATAAGACAAGACCACAGCTAACATCCGACTAAGTGGTAAAAAGTTGAAAGTTTTCCCTAAAAATCAGGAATAATACAAGCATGTTTGCTCTCGCCAATTTTATTCACCATAGTATTGGAAGTCCTTCCCGGAACAATTAGGCAAGAAAAGAAAATAAAGGCATCTGCATTGGAACAGAAGATGTAAAATATCACTTTTCGATTATTACCTGATATTACATGAAACCCTAAAAAACCCACCAGAAAACGACTATTAGAACAAATAAACTCAGCATGATAATGGGAGATGAACCATCAGAGAGAGAAATGAAGAAAACAGTCCCATTTACAAATGCATCAAAAGGAATGAAATACCTTGAAATAAATGTAAACCAGGAGCTGAACGACTTGCACAGAGTCATGGACTCCGAGACAGGAATTCTGGATTGAAATCCCAGCTCACTCGTTAACCTGCTGAGTGACACAATGATCTGAGGCTCAATCATTTTAACTGCAAAATAGACACAAAACCAGTACCTCCTTCCAGGGTTGTGAAACTAAAAGAAATGCTTATTCAGACCAGGGGGTTGAAGGGTCAGTAGCAGCCTCTCCTTGTGTGAAACTTTTCTGGAACTGGGCTCTCCTCCATCTGTGTGTGAGGGTCCAGTGTGGAGCCGGGAAGCCAGATGGGACTGGATGTGGACCGAGGCAAAACAACAACAACAACAACTAGTTTCTTCGGGGGGGGGGCGGGGGTGGCAGGGAAGCCACCTCCTTTCCAGATCTCAGAGTGGGGCCTGAACCAAGGGCCCAGGGTTGCACAGTCGGAAGTGAACCCTGAGCCCCGCCCCCTCCACAGCAGGGATGGAGCCTTCCTGGAAGGAACCTTTTCTCTGGTCCAGTGTGATGTGGTGCTGCTCCGAGTTCTCCTTGTCTCCACCAGGCAAAGAGCTCCCAGGAGCTGGAGGTCTATTAAGGCACAGGTGGCTGAGTGTCAGAATGACACAAGGACTAAGATAATTGAAAATGAACTATATTGATAAAAATGACAGAAGTACAGACAAGGCAAGGGGTGGAAAGCACAAGTACTGACTGCCTTTCACGCCTTTACCAGAAATGTATCCGAAACATCCCCACACCAGCTCAAGAGAGCCCAAATGGTAGAAACAGAATGGAAAATCAGGCTATGGATCTAATCTCTACACTGCTGGTTGCAGAGACCCACGTTTCAACCCTTCAAACTTCTTGTGGGCAGCCAGACACCAAAGGAAGACACACAGACCTTGCCTTAGGAAGTTACAGCCAGACTTAACCTTGGGGTTGCTCAGCATGGTCAGTGGTCTCACCACGGACTCAGCCCCACCTCTGTGCTCACATTGTCTGTCTTCACAGAAACGTACATAGTTCACTACAGAGAACTTTCTGGGGGCACTTGTGTATACTAGGAACTGGCAATGGTGACATGGGAGGAGAAGACACAGAAAAGGACACCTGCCTCTGGGGTGCTCCACAAATAACCAAAGATTTGAAGTTCTTAATACTTGGGGTTTTGAAAAATGTTTCTTAATATGTAAATGGAGAATGGAAGCCCACTGGGACTATTTGGTATCCATTGGGAAAGTAAGTTGAATCCCTGCCTCACAAAACACCACCAAAGCAATTAGAAACATACCAACACTTGAAAGGAAACCCTGACAAAATTTTGAACTATTTTTGATGAGTGAATATTTTTTTTTAACCTGAGGTATTGTTGACTTTTAATGATTTTTTAGTTTAAGGTGTACAGCTAAAGGATTCAGTGATTTGGTGTCTCAGGTGCTTCCTTGGACAAACTTCACTCCCTTTGACAGGACCTTGGGCCATGTCCTCTACTCAGAACAGGTAATAATCCTGAAAACACAGAGCAGCACGTGATGTTGCTCACTGGTGGTTTCTGACAAAATTAATTATTCTAATATGACACAAAAAACAAACCTAGAGACTAGCAGAGGATCTCCAAACATATCTTCATACAGGAGGCCTTGCTCCCTTGAATGTGGTACGTGAAACAGAAGAGGTGTGTCATGAATATTTTCTCTGCAGCTGACAAAGCAGTGTGTGGAGAGGAGCAGGCACGTCCCAGGACACTGAGCACATGGACACAGTGACTGGATGCTCAGCCTTGCTCTTGGGGCATTGCACTGTCTCCACCCCTGACAGAGGCTAAGCAGCTCCCACATATCCTGGAGATTACGGTCACATGACCTGGACCTGGCCAATTGGTGTGTTCCGTCCTCCCTGGCCACTGTGATTGGCTCAGGACTGGTGCAGTGACCAATCAGGGCCCAGGGCCGGGCCCCAAGCTGGAATCAAGGGGAAGAGGATTTCTCCTTCTGCCAGAAGGGGTGGGGCCAGGTGACGTCAGGCTACAGCAGTGGGCGGGGCATGAGGTCAGCCTGAGGCCGTTGGTGACCTTCCTGCTCCCATCAGGCCAGAGCCACCGACCTGAGGGTGAGGGCGCTGCTGAGCCCAGGGGTTGAGAGCGCCCGTTACTGCTGTGGTCCCGGAGCTCCACCTGAGACCTGAGGGAAGCCGTCTGCCTGTGAGTCCTCTTCTGTTTGTCTGTAGCTTCTTTGAACCCCGCTGGGTTTTCTGTCCAGCGGACTAAGTGGAGATCCTGGAAATGCAACTGTGTGGGTTTTGGCTGGCTTCGGGGAAGAAATGCCAGATGACACTAAGAGACTCCAGTTATTCTGGATTCAGGCGATATCTCTAAGGGCTAGATATTAATTCTCGGATAACCCAAATTAGTCTTCAGAAGATTAAGATAGCAACGTGCTAAGGGAGCAATAGATGTCCTCTTTCTAGAGCATGAAACTGGCGCTCAGAGAAGGGGGTAACGTGGCTACAGCAAACAGATGTGTACCAGACAGAAGCCCCAGATCCTGCCGTTTGAACTCAGGGAAGACACTGGTGAGGCTTTTATCTGTAACAGGGGCTAAGGCACTCAGCCCACACTCGTTACTGTGGGGACCTGACTTGGTAAATGCCATCTGGTAGCTTTGAGACTCACAAAAGCAGTTTGCAGTGAAGAGAGGAAGGGCACCTCCCTTTATCCACCCCACCACACCCTCCAGATTCCCACATACCCTGATCTCTTTCTCTTGGTTTCTGAGGCAGTTACAGAGTCATGCTCATGCGACCACATTTGCTGTCTACTGTTCATGAGCTGCCATCTGGGGCTGCTACAGGAGAGGCCAAGGGCCTTTGCTCCCGAGTACCTCTCTTCCTTTGGACCTTGGGGGCCCTACTCCCCACTTGCACACCACAGGCCTTTCCAAGTATTGTGGGGACCCTCACTCAGTTTGTATCCCATTGTATCCATTGCTGTCCTTTCAGTGCCTCCCTTGAAACTCAGCTTGTGATCTCCTTTGTAGCAGTGTGGCCCACCTGGCTTCTACTGGATGGTCAGAGCTGACAATGAAACAACAGCTCAGGTCTGATAGCTCAGAAGCTCTGTAAGGGACCTCACCCTTCACAGTGCAGAGGGTGTAGTAGCCTCCAGGGTTCTGGAACCAGTTCTTGGGCAAAACTGACTCCACAGGGGTTTTAATGTCTGGGGAGGGTTCTGGAGATTATGACTATATTTCCCAAAAGGTCTTCATTTAGCCCATGATATCTTCAAAGTACCTACACTGTCCTTTCAGATACCCAAAGACTACTTCAAATGAAATAAAAATTCTCAAATGTAGCCTTACAGTATGTGGGGAATCAGAAAAAAACTACTTCTATCATTTTGCTATAGTCTTTGATTGGGGACACCCAGAATATAGGAAGAAATGAAGAAAGAAAAGGATTAAAGTTTGTTCAGGATCGGGGGAATGGACAAACAGAGATGTGAACAAAGGATTTGTTGGGAGCTGGGGCAGAAAGATTGAAAGGGTCTGAAACTACAGAAGGTGATGGTTACACAGCACTTTGAAGGTCCTGAGTGTTCCCAAACTGCAACAATTTTGAATAATTTATTCATTAAAACTTAACCGAAAAAGGCACATAGAGCCATAACACATAAAAGAGCACAAAAAAGTTACATAAAATCCAAATGAAAAGACCCTCAAGGGAAGGGAAGTCAGTCTCCCCTGGGTGGGGAGCGAGCTGATGGCATCCATGGGGAGCAGACTGGGATGGAGGCTGCAGAGCCAACCATGCCCCTGGACGAGGAGTTTCCAGAACAGGCTCTGGGTCTCTGTCCAGAGCAGGGGCCCATTCTCCCTGCAGCGCTGGGTCAGTCATCGTGGGCATCTGGGTCTTGGGCAGGAGCCAGGGCAGGCTCTCCCTGCAGAGGTGGTAACTCATGCCCTGACTCGGGTTCTCCTGCCAAAGCCGGAGCAGGGGCATGTGCACGTGGAGGTGGACGTGCTTGCTGAGGGGGTGGGACATCGGTGCCTGGGGCTGGGGATCCTGCACGTGTAGCAACCACCGCTGTAGGGACAGGTCTTTGAAGTGGAGCCCGGTTGAAGGCGAGCAGCAGAGCTGTGAGAGAGGAAAAGATTACCGAGAGCCTTGCCTTGGCGTGTTCGTATCTGAGGATAGAAAGGTTCCCTGAGATTCCCAAAGAATACCCAGCATAGAGGTCTTCTCTGCAGGCCAAAAGATGGTTTGCTCCAGGCCCAGCCCCAGCTCTGGGGGACTCCTCCCTGTGTAGTTCAGCACCCCTCCCCACAATCACATTCACAGCCCCAACCTCCTCACCTCTGTGCTCTGCCGTGCTGCGCTCCAGGTCCTCCCGCTGCCTCAGAGGCAGAGGTTCTGGGGCTCTGGGTCGGAGCCGGGTGTGCTGAGCCCCATGGCAGCCTGAGACTGGGCCCTGGGGTGTGTCCTGGGTGGTGTCTGGGCAGCAGGCCTTCCCTGCTTCCTCTTAATTCCTGGTTGGGCTGACCCCTCTGTGGGCACACTCTCCTGGAGCCTGCACTGGGCCTCCCGGGCAGGGGGGTGGTGCTCTGACTCCTCCCATGGGAGGGTGGATGGGGTGTCCCCCTCATCAGCCATATCTTGTGGGAAGCTCTGAAATGACAGTGACCGTCAAGCCAGCCCTGCTTGGAGTTTACCGAGCTGGGCCTGGCAGTATGGCTGCTGCTTCTGCCTGCGCGAACTTCTGCTTCTGGAATGAGCAGAAATGCGTGTCTGCTCAGGTACCCAACCGGGAGGATGGAGACCCCCTCTGAGGGCATGAGGTGAGCCTGGGCAGCCGGCGGTGCCTGGACTCTCCCCATCCCACCCAGCCTGCTCTCCCCTGGGGTGTGAACAACACCGGCCCACAGGCTCTGACCCCACATCCGCCTGGGCTTGCTGGAGGCCAGCACACCCCGAGAAACTCCCTTCTACACTCACAGGGAAAGGACTCAGGGTGACCCGGGTGGGATGGCAGAGGGGACCTGGCCCAGCCTGGGGCTCCCGTGTTACCTTCCTGTTCCTTCGGGCAAAGGGCCAGAGGCCTCCTCGGGGGGCCCTGAGCCAGCGTCGACAGCAATCCCACACACTCTTCCTGTGAGCTCTCCTGAGGCTCCAGCCTCTGGGCAGGGGCAAACAGCAGAATATCTTGGCACCAAGTAATATGGCTTTGGGTTCCTCTCCACTGTGGAGACCTGGATACCTGGGTTCTGGGTTCTGTTGGTTTCTATTTCCGGGAAGTGACATCATTTTTTGTGGTTCGTTGCTGAGGTCCCTTACACAAAGCTCCCCAAGGGAACCTCGGTGTTTCTGACTGTTCACCCACACCCTTAGGCCACGTGCGGGCACAGTGACACCCACACCACCCATCCCTCGGCCTTGGGGAGGCCTGGGTGCCTCCAGTGCCTGAGCTCTGAGGACACAGCTGCTTTCAGACCAGGCTCCTCTTTCTCATAAGTGACGTGGCCCTGGACAAGCATGTGCCCCTCAGGGTTTCCCCCGTCTCTCCATCTGCAGAGCGGGGGTCATTCTCCCATCTCCTGCCCAGGTCTATTGGCCTAGGAGCAGCTCCAGTGCCTGTTCAACCCGTGGGCTGGTGTCACATGGAGTTCATGCACTGACTCTTCACAGAGGAAGGATTCAATACAGGGCTCACCTAGCACAGAATGAGGCAGAAACAGGCCTTGATGGGCTTTGGGACCTAGGAAAAGGCAGTCCTCTCACCTACCTATTTCAAGTTCCCCCCAGCCCCCCACCCAGTGGGAGGTCTGAAGGTAAGATTCAGACATCACCCCCTCTAATCTACAACAACCTTCATCGGTCCTCCTGTTCCATTGAGATTCTGGCTTAAGTTTCCCATCTCAGCCTCTAGGGGAGGGCGAGGCTGCCCCTCCTATGGCTCCCAGCATCCTCTCTTTTACTCTTGTCACCTTGGGTCATTTCCCCCCTTGCAGAGTGAATGGGCCCTGTCACTGGTTGAAACCTCAAGATTGATTCATGCAAATCCTGTGAAATCTTCTCATTTCCTCTTTCTTAACCTTTCTAAGTTCAGTCTATCAGTTTTTCCCTCCCTGACTGTCTCTGATGCATGCCTATGAATATATATTGCATGTCTATTGTTAGCCTAGCGTTAGGTTTTAGGGTTTAGCTTTCAGTGAGAGAAAGGATTGGGATTGGAGTTGCTGTGAGGGGAAGGGATAAGGGTGGTGCTATTGTTTCTGGTTCACTGAGTGGTGTGAGTTCTTAGTCTGTTTTCCATATGAACCCCTCATCAGAGACACCACTTGCAAATAGTCTCTCGTGTTCAGTTTTCCACCTTTTTGATTTGTGAATGCTTAGCTTTTCCGTTGCAAAGCTCTTCAGTTGGATGGAAGCCCCTGGTGTTCTTTGGTTTCCTGTTTCCCTTACTCGAAGAGACCCATTTTTGCTTCCCACACCAAATGTTAAGGAGCTCTGATGTGGTGGAGCCGACGGCACATGCTTATTTCCAGGAGTTTCAAACTTTCCTTGTGGCTCATCCTGTAAAGAATGAGCAGTGTGGGACACCTGGGTTCGATTCCTGGGTTGGGAAGATCCCCTGGAGAAGGGAAAGGCTACCCACTCCAGTATTCTGGCCTGGAGAATCCAATGGCCTGTATAGTCCATGGGGTTGCAGAGAGTCGGAGACACTGAGTGACTTTCACTTTCACTCATAACTTCAGGCTTGGGGTTGATGTGTTTCACCGATTTTGAGGTGCTATGAGAACAAAAGCCAACGTGATTCTTCAGATGTAGCCATCCAACTTTGCCATGGCCCTTTCTTGGAGTCTTTTGTATTCCTATTTGCATATTCTCCTCTCCTTTGTAGTAGATGAATTGACCATAGAAGCTAGGGTTTATCTCTTGGACTCTCAGCTCTATTGTATGGATCTGGATCTGCATGTATGTTTGTGTGACCGACACCATACTGTCCAGATGATCCTAGTGTTGCAGTCTAGTTGGCTATCAGGCAGTCTGGTAGGCCCGTATCAGGCCTTCTTTCCTTAGACTGTACAGACGATTTAGGCTCCTTTGTGTTTCCATACCCATTTTGGAATTCCTTGGTCTAGCGCCCCGAAAATATCCCTTGGCCTTTTGAGAGCAATAACATGCACCGGACCCTCTGGATTGCCTTTGGGGGTGTGACATCATTTTACCAATAGGAATCCTTGCAATGCATGAGCTCAGCTTATTTTCCATCAGATCGTGTGGACTTCACCTTCTTTCATCCATCTCTTGCAGTTTTCTGAGAACAGGTCCTTCCCTCCTGGGTTAGATGGACTCCTGGGTATTTCCTTTTGGTGTATCTCATTGTCAGTGGGGTTGATACTTACCTTGTCATTCTAAGAGTTTGCTGTGAGCGTTGGAAATGCAAACGATTTCCTCCCTTCCATCTCTCTGAGCCACCAGGTAGCACAGGCCTAGTCGGGGTCACGCGGGGCTCGGGGAGTGCAGCTAGACCGTGTTTCTCGGGCCCTCAGTGCTGGGCATCATTCGGTGTGCTCTCCATGTGCCTTCCCCGGCCTGGTGTCCCTTCAGGCCTTTCCCTAGTTTTAATAGCCTTGTTTGTGTTCTTTGTCTCTTTGGAGACAAATCCTTTATCAGCTGTGTGTTTGCAAGCATTTGTGTGCCAGTGAGTGGTGTGTCCTTTGCTTTTTTTCATAAGGTCTTTACCAGAGCAGAAACCTTTGATTTTACACAGTCCACAGTATTGCCTTTTTGTGCATTGCCTTTCTGTATTGTGTGTGAAGACTCAAAGGTCATGTCTAGCCTCTGCTTGATTTTCTTCTGGATTTGTGAGATGTTTGGCATGGAAAATATGTCTCAGAAAAATCTGAAGTGAATTTGATGTAAGGTGTCAAGTTTCCATCCACATTCACCTCATCCCCTCTGGTTTTCAATTCATCACTCCTGAACTCTTTTGGAGAACTTGTGGGAAGTTTGGTTGCATTTCAGTTTGAATTTCTGCCCTTTAGTAGATTCACCCAGTTCTGCCAACAGGGACACTGTGAAGGGTGAGTGAGGGGCAGCCTGCACTCCCAGCAGTGACCACAGGGTGGGAAGAATGCTGCTCTCCCCTCGGGAGCCACAGGCCACAGGCATCCCAGTGAGGAGCAGGCTGTGTGTGCAGCTAAAAGGAGTTAGTCTCTCAGGCGCCTGTGCGACGTTGCCTTTGGGTCACCCAGGGTGGGCGTTTACAGTGACAGGAACCATTGCACCGCAAGTGAAGTGAGAGCCGGTCTGAAATCCGCCACTGCTCCTAAAGAGATGCACCTGAGGCCCCTTGAGGGTCCTGCACAGAGCGCTCTTTGGTGGACATGCTGGGGACACTGCTGCCTCGTGGGCTGCCCAGGGCAGGCTGTCACCAGTCCAGACACGGACCACGGCGATGACCGTCACTGCTGTCTCCAAACGGTTTTCATTGGTGCGTGTCCTCATCTGAGCGGTCAGGCCATGTGCACTGCCTCCCCTTGCAACTTCTAGGCTAGGTCTCCTAGGCTAGAGCTCTCAGGTCTAACTTGTAGGGCTAGGCTACACTGGCCATGTGCATTGCCTCTCCTTGCAACTTCACCGCTTTCTTCTCTTCTTTACTGCACATTGATTTTCAAGAGTGTTTGGGCCACAAGGATGTTGGGTCTTTCTCTAGCCTTGTCATGAGGTTGAGACAGCGCTTCCCAGTTGTTGGCATGCTCATTTTGCCCGCTTTCTTTCCTGGCTTCTCTTTGTGACTGTGCCTGAGGAAGAGCTCAGCATTTCCCTTCTGGCTGAGACGTCATGCAACAGTAATGCCTGCCTGGAGATTATTTGCCAAAAGGGTCTCATTTTGCAGATGACATCTTGAAATCACCTGCAGTGCCCTTTCCGATACACAAAGGCTGCCTGAAAGGAAACAAAAAAATGAGAATTCCCAAGTCTACTCTTAAAATACGTGCAGAGTCTAATAAAACCACCTTTTCTATGATTTTTTTTCATCAGCACTGACGGGAGACATCCAGGATATGGGAAGACACTCAGATATAAGAGGATTAAAGGTTGTCAGGGGCAAGGGAGGAACAGGGAGTGCTTGAGGTGAATACAGGATTTGCTGGGGCGGGGGGTGGGGTTCGGGAAATGAAAGGGTCCCAAGCTAGAGAGTGGTGCCTGCTGCACAGCATTGTGAAGGTCCTTAATGCTCCGGAAGTGTACCACTGAACGCCAATTTTACTGATTGACACTTAAAGGGGAAAAATACACAAATCTGTGAAGAACAGAATATAAATCAAGAAAATACAGAGAAACCGAATGAAAAGAAGCTCAGGAAAGGGAACTGAGTCTCCACTGGCTAGAGAGAGAGTTGATGGCGTCCACAGGGAGCAGACAGGGATGGAGGCTGCAGAACCAACCCCTCCGCTGGACACGGTGTTTCCAGAAATGGAAATGGAAAGGGCTCTGGGTCTCTGTCCAGAGCAGGGGCCTGTTCTCTGCAGGGGTGGGTCAGTCATCATTGGTGTCTGGGTCTTGAGCAGGAGCCAGGGCAGGCTCTCCCTGCAGAGGCGGTGACTTATCCCCTGACCCAGGTTCTCCTGCCAAAGCCGGAGCAGTGGCAGGCGTAACTGCACATGTAGGTGGACCAGCAGCTTCTCCCTGGGGGATTGGAGCACTGGTGCCTGGGGCTGAGGTCTTGCAGGCACAGAGATCTGATCTTCCCCATGTGCTGGCCAATACCCAGCCGGCCCACTGTCTTTGGGAAGGCATGTCTCAGGTCTCGATCTCCCCTCAGTGGATCCCTGGGTCCTGCACGTGTGGCAGCCAGCTCTGTATGAACAGGTCTTCAAAGCGGAGCCTGGTTGAACTTGGGGGCAGGTACTAGAGTTGTGAGAGAAGAAAAGATTACCCATGGCCAGCCTTGCCCTGTGCCTCTCTGGAGACAGAATTCTTCCCTGAACTTTAGAGACAGTTCCCAGTCCAGGAAGTCACAATAGGATGTCGTCTCTGATGCAGTCCACCAAGTGGGTGGGCTGAGGCCAGCCTTTGCTCCAGGCCCAGCCCCAGCTCTGGGGGACTCCTCCCTGTATGGCTCAGCTCCCCTCCCCACACGCACATTCCCAGCCCCAGCCTCCTCACCTCTGTGCTCTGCCGCGCTGGGCTCCAGGTCCGAGGCAGCAGTTCTCAGGGCTCTGGGTTGGAGCCGGGTGTGCTGAGCCCTGTGGCAGGCTGAGACTGGACCCCGAGGTGTGTCCCGGGTGGTGTCTGGGCAGCAGGCCTCCTCCGCTTCCTCTTCATTCCCAGTTGGGCAGAACCCTCCGTGGGCACGCTCACCTGGAGCCTGCACTGGGCCTCACGGACAGGGGGTGGTGCTCCGACCCTTCTCTCAGGGAGGTGCTACTTCAGAAGAAATAAAAACAAGAATTCTCAAGTTTGGTCTTACAATATATGGGGAGTCAGAAAAATTCCCTGGAGAAGGGAAAAGCTACCCACTCCAGTATTGTGGCCTAGAGAATTCCATGGACTGTAAAATCCATGGGGTTGCAGAATCTAACAAGACTGAGCGACTATAACTTTCACATTCAGTCAGAAAAAATCCAGTTTTCTATCATTTCAGTGATTGGCATTGATTGGAGACACCCAAAGGATGGGAAGAACTGGAGAAAGAGGACGAGTAAATGTTGTCAGGGGCCAGGATGAGGGAGGGAGGAACGGGGAGTGCTTGACATGAATCCAGGCTTTGCTGGGAAGTGGGGGGGGATAGAATGAGAGGGTCTGAATGTAGACAGTGGGGATGGTTACACAGCATTGTGAAGGCCTTAATATTCCCTAATTGCATCAATTAAGGTAAAATTTATTAACAAAAACTTAACAGAAAAAAATACATAAAGCTACAAAAAAAAATGACAAGAAAGCCAAACACAAACCAGATGACCAGAATCTCAGGTGAAGTGAACTGAATCTCCCCTGGGTGGGGAGCGAGGTGATGGCATCCACGGGGGGCAGACAGGGATCGCGGCTGCAGAGCCCACAGCTCCCCTGGACCTGGTGTTTCCGGAACGGACTCTGGGTCTCTGTCCAGAACAGGGGCCCATTCTCCCTGCAGCGGTGGGTCAGTCATCGTGGGCGTCTGGGTCTTGAGCAGGAGCCAGGGCAGGCTCTCCCTGCAGACGTGGTAACTCATGCCCTGACTCGGGTTCTCCTGCCAAAGCCCGAGGGTGCAGGTGGAGGTGGGCAGTTGGTGCCTGGGGCTGGGGTCCTGCAGGCACAGAGCTCCGATCTGCCCAGTGTGGTGGCCAGTAACCAGCTGACCTGGTGTCTTTGGGGAAAGGCTCAGCTCTCGATCTCCTGTGAGTGGATCCCTGGGTCCTGCACATGTGTATAGCAACCACCTCTATGGGGACACGTCTTGGAAGTGGAGCCTGGTTGTATTTGAAGGTCAGAACTAGAGCTGGGAGAGAAGAAAAGTTTGCCCACAGGCCAGCCTTGCCATGTGCCTAACTGGGCACTAAAGATTCCCTGAGATTCCCAAAGAATACCCAGCATAGGAGAGTTCTGTGCAGTCTACAAGATGGGTGGTCTGAGGCCGGCCTTTGCTCCAGGCCCAGCCCCAGCTCTGGGGGACTCCTCCCTGTGTAGCTCAGCACCCCTCCCCACAATCACATTCACAGCCCCAACCTCCTCACCTCTGTGCTCTGCCGTGCTGCGCTCCAGGTCCTCCTGCTGCCTCAGAGGCAGAGGTTCTGGGGCTCTGGGTCGGAGCTGGGTGTGCTGAGCCCCATGGCAGGCTGAGACTGGGCCCTGGGGTGTGTCCTGGGTGGTGTCTGGGCAGCAGGCCTTCCCCACTTCCCCTTCATTCCCAGTTGGGCTGACCCCTCCGTGGGCATGCTCACCTGGACCCTGCACTGGGCCTCACGGGCAGGCGGGTGGGGCTCTGACCCTTCCCCTGGGGAGGTGGACGGCGTGTCCCCCTCATCGGCCACATCCAGTGGGAAGCTCTGCAATGACAGTGACCGTCAGCCAGGCCTGCCTGGAGTTTTCCGAGCTGGGCCTGGCCAGTATGGCTGCTGCTTCTGCCCGCTCAACCTTCTGCTCCCAGAACGAGCAGAGACGAGTGCCTGGTCAGATAACACCCAGGAGGAAGAAGACCCCCCTGGGGGCGTGAGGCCAGCCTGGGCAGCCGGCGGTGCCTGGACTCTCCCCATCCCACCCAGCCTGCTCTCCCCTGGGGTGTGAACAACACCGGCCCACAGGCTCTGACCCCACATCCGCCTGGGCTTGCTGGAAGCCGACAGACACCGAGAAACCCCCGTCTACACTCACAGGGAAAGGACTCAGGGTTGCCCGGGTGGGAGGGAGAGGGGACCTGGCCCGGCCTGGGCCTCCCGTGTTACCTTCCTGTTCCTTCGGCCAAAGCCCCCCTCCTCGGGGGGCTCTGAGCCAGCCTCGACGGCGATCCCACACACTGCCTGTGAGCTCTGCTGAGGCCCCAGCCTCTGGGCAGGGGCAAACAGCAGAACATCTTGGCAACAAGTGATCTGGCCGGTGGCTCCTCTCCGATGTGGAGACCTGGAGACCTGGATACTAGCTGAACAGTATTGTTTCACAATGATCTATAGTCCTATCTGACTGAGTTGTTCTAAACCTTTTTGATATGTGTTGACAAAGCTTCTTAAATCATTCTAATGAAGATTTCTAGCCTAACTTTGGGATACTTCAGAGGGCCCCTGAAACATCCCAGAGAGAGGTATTACACTAATTAGGTTCGTTTTGTATACAGAATTACATGGGAAGTATTGTCAAGTGAGTAATAAGTCTCCAGGTTATATTGTATGTATCTTCCTGACCCAGGGATCGAACCAGGGTTTCCCGAATTGTAGGCAGCCGCTTTACGGTCTGAGCTACCAGGGAAGCCCATTGTATGGTAATATGTTAGCAATATAGATACCCTAGAAACTGTGTGGAGTTCCTAAAATTTTGATGTGTTTGGGTAAAATGTTTTCAGGCATGATTCAGTTACTATCTCAAAATATTGTCATACACTAACCAAATTTCGCAAAAATGCTTCCTCTTCAAGCTTTATAAAAAGGACTTTTGGATAAATACCAGTTTCTGAACTGGGAAAAGATTCTAATGAAAAATCTGACTTCACAAAGGTTAACAAAAGGACTGAATGAACTGGTGAATATGCTTATCACTTTTATGGTTTTTAGTTTTCCAGGTTTAAGAAAAACCTTCCCTTCAAACTAATTATGATGGTAATTTGGTAAAATTATATTTTATAACAAATCGAAACATTTATCTTTTCTCTCTGTCTGAACTTCCAGAGACTGGAAACTCTTAAGTTTCCAGTAATTTTATCAGATAAGTTAGGAAGGTTATTTCACTAACAGGTACAGAAATCTGAAGGAACTTGCAGGAATCTGAGACCTTGAGAAGGGAGGAATTCACTTAGATCTGTTAGGGAAAATCTGTGATAAACATTTGGCATGACTTTCCTAGCCCTGAAAGGTTTTATTTTAAAAGTTCAGTCTGAGACTTTTATAGTCTCAGCAAAGCAAAAAAGTCTGTGATCAATTATGGTTGTATAAATCATCAGGCAAAGTTTATTGCGACCAGACCTATATTACAAACAAGTCTTAATTTGGTTATATTTGGTAAAAATGGTGGTGATTTTAGGGAGAAAAAGATGTTTCAATGAATGTTAAATCCAAATTTGTTAATGGAGGTCTGTATCTACTAAGACTCATTTCCTGGATAGTTCTTTGTTGTTAGGATATATTAATGTAAAATTTAATTGCATTATTAAAGGACACTCTAGGGTTGTTTCTGAAGCTTATTTTAGTAATCTGTCTTTGGATGGAGATCAGATGCCTCACACATGACCTGCAATCAAGACTGAAAGAAGACATAATTTAAGGAACTTTCCAACCTGGATGGATGGACCTTTCTATCAGGTACTCTTACCTAGCTCATGCCCAGTGAAATTGAAGGGGAAATGACTCTTGGGTTAACTCCCACTTCCAAAGGCCCCTAAGCTGGACTGGTCTATAGAGAGGCCTGCTGACCTCAAACTCACCTTAAAACAATGCTCAAACGGAGGAAACTACACTACACTAGGACGAGAAGAAGCTGACATCAGAAGTAGACAGCTTGCCCAAGATGCTGATCTGACTTTTATGACCATTTGTAGTGTTCTCTTGATTCCTTGGACCTATGCCTATCAATCAAATCTTTTCTATCATGGACACAATTCTATGCTAGTTTAAAACTCAATCTAATTGTTTGATTGTGGCCAATTACTTATGTCTGGTACTTCTGGGTTTCCTTGGTGGATTTCTGTTCTCTAGGGATACCCACTAGGAAACTTATTTTAGATGAGAGTTCAGTCCTGTTCTATCTTCATGATATTACAAATGGAATTCTCTCACCTGGCCAATTAATAATATCTGCTCTGGGGATGCAAGCAATAGATATAAGTTTTCTCTTAGGATCATTTTAACTCAATCGGAGTGATGAGCCAAGTCTCAATTTAAAAAATTAACCTATCAATGAAAAGGAAAATTCCCACAATTACAGGGTGGATCTACATGGTTAACACCAGGCTATGTTCATTTAAGTTTAAAAGCTCCTCTATGTTGGGAAGGGTTCAGCTCAGTTCAGTTCAGTCACTCAGTCGTGTCCAACTCTTTGCAAGCCCATGAATCACAGCACATTAGGCCTCCCTGTCCATCACCAACTCCCGGAGTTTACTCAAACTCATGTCCATCGAGTCGGTGATGCCATCCTGCCATCTCATCTTATGTTGTGCCCTTCTTCTCCTGCCCCCAATCCCTCCCAGCATCAGGGTCTTTTCCAATGAGTCAACTCTTCACATGAGGTGGCCAAAGTACTGGAGTTTCAGCTTCAGCATCAGTCCTTCCAGTGAACACCCAGGACTGATCTCCTTTAGGATGGACTGGTTGGAGCTCCTTGCAGTCAAATCATACTAAAAATGATCAACCTGGTAATTATGAAACAAGGCTGGGTGCTTTATGAACTGTGTCTCTTACTACCCTTAGAGAGAGTGATTGGTATGGAACTCAGTGGATTTGTGGCACTAATTTATGGCCTTCACATCTACAGAGATGGATACAAAGGTGTAGCCTGGGATTCCCATGAATTTTAGGTCATACATGTTAACGAAATAGAGGTAACCCTAACCAATCTACCACTGGTATGATCCCAATGGGTCAAAGATCTGTATTGTCCTGGTATGACCATTTAGCAGCTTGTGTATATGTGTTTGTGTGTGTGCACGCCTTCAGTGGGGTTGGAGGATATCATTGACCATATCTAAGCCTTAACATCTTTCATAAGCTTTAAGTGAGAGTAACCAGGCTATTAGCCTATTGAATTCTGAGATCTCTATGATGAGAGAGGCAATGCTACAGTACAACTGCAAGGCCCTTGACACCTTAAAGCATCTCAGGGAGATATCTGTGCTGTAATGCAAACTGAATGCTATATTTTCATACCTGGTAAATCCTTTAATGTAACACATTTGAACCACATGAAAAATCATATTTCTGCTTTAAGTGGCCCATTCCCTAATCTTCACGACCTTTTAAGAAAACTGGTGTGGGAGGCTCATGGATAAAGTATTTACTTTTAATTCCATTAGTGTTATTAACTATACCACTTGTAATTTGCTTGTTTCACAAGATTATCATTTCATGTATTACCAACTGTATGAACCTCCAACGAAAATGATGACTAGACTTGAAGCAGTTGATCAAATGTATAGCTCGATATATGATCAATGATTGTAATAGTGTAACTCTAGGTTTGAAAAGATGCAATGAGAGGGAATACTTTCCTGGACCATAGCTAGAAGACAGGTGTCCAGAGATCTTTGACTATTAAGACCTAGTCCAGTAATAGCACATTGAGTGTCTTATCAACAAAAACCTTCTTCATAACTGGGAACGAGCCTTCCCAGCAACGCGGAACAAAATGGTCATGAGATGCCTGCCAAAGTATGGTCGGATTTATGACCACTAGGGGGCCATGTCAACTACAAGTTGGCATGTACCAAGAGCATTGCCAATGACTGAACAACAAAGGCGTCTACAGAGATTGAGCCCCATGCTGCTATAGCTGGTGACCTTCAACAACCCCTGAGAGAGTTCAGGCTGGAGTGAGGCACTCTCTGCTCCAGGGAATCTGGTGGGACAGGTCTTTAGATAGTTGGATGTTTTTAGGGACAGATTTTATGATCTCAATCCTTGCATCTCCTCATATCTAGAGAAACACTAAAGCCCTTCCTGGTGATATCAGATCCTCATGACAAACAAAAAGCCTTTTGTAAAATGAGTGCTTCATGGTATTGAACTCTCCCTTCCCCAAAACCTTATATATTGTCCTTCCCCCACTGCTGCTTGAGAGCAGTTTCTCAGAGCTATCTGAGAGGCTGCCTCCTCGGCTGCAGTCCTCATTTTACCCCAAATAAAACTTTTAACTGCTTTTCCGGTTGCGGCCCCGCGAGGTGAGGATCTCTTTTCTACGTCTGCAGCCATGCCGTCCAAGGGCCCTCTGCAGTCAGTGCAAGTCTTCGGACGCAAGAAGACGGCCACCGCCGTGGCGCACTGCAAACGAGGTAACGGCCTCATCAAGGTGAACGGACGACCCCTGGAAATGATCGAACCGCGCACGCTGCAATACAAGTTACTGGAACCTGTTCTGCTCCTGGGCAAGGAGCGATTTGCTGGTGTGGACATCCGCGTCCGAGTGAAGGGTGGTGGTCACGTAGCCCAGATTTACGCCATCCGCCAGTCCATCTCCAAAGCCTTGGTGGCCTATTACCAGAAATATGTGGATGAGGCTTCCAAGAAGGAGATCAAAGACATCCTCATCCAGTATGACCGGACACTGCTGGTAGCCGATCCCCGTCGCTGTGAATCCAAAAAGTTTGGAGGTCCTGGTGCCCGTGCCCGCTACCAGAAATCCTACCGATAAGCCCATCATGAAGATCAGGGTTTCCCTGTATAGCACCTTTATAATAAATGTGGGATTTAAAAAAAAAAAAAACTTTTAACTCACAACTCTCAAGTTGTACATCTTTTTTTAGTCGACACGTGCCACTGTAAAAGTTACCCTGGGCTCCACAGAGGTGATGAGAGTCGGGGCCTGGGGTCCTGGGCACCTTTAGTCTACAGTGGCGAGTCCAAGGTGGCTGGGCAGAGCTGGGTCAGAGGACTCCTGCTCAGGACCAGGAGGGGATGTCCAGATCCCTAGAGGGACCCAATGTCCCTTTATGCCACAGCTGGGACATGGACCTGGAGGGGGCCTTGGCTTTAGGCATGAGCCGGCCTTCTTTGCTGCCTTTGAAGCAGGGCCCAGGTCACTTCCTTTCTTTGTTGGTTGATAGAGGCTTGGAGCCATGTAGGGCAGTGGCTAAAAGGTGGCATTTGGCCTGATCTCGTTGGGCCTTCTCTAGCTTTGCCTGTCCTTCCTGGTTGTTGAAAATCTTAAAGGCTAAATTTAAAAGGTCTCATTGAGGGGTTTGAGGGTCTTCTGCCTTTTTTAGTTTCTTTCTGATATCTAGGGATGACTGGCAGATAAAATGGGTGTTAAGGACAATGGTGCCCTCTGCTGAAGTGGGGTTTAATTTTGTATATTTTTGTAGCACTTCTGTTAACCTGGCTAGAAATTGTGCTGGGTTTTCAACTAGCCCTTGAGTTATTTCCAAGAGCTTATCAAAGTTGACAGCTTTATGCCCTGCCTTTTGAAGGCCCACAATGAAGCAAGCAACCGCGTGATTACGGGCTGCTCCTCCAGGTCTCCCTGCCTGGTAATCCCAGTTGGGATCTTCTCGGGGGACAGCTGTTACCCATACGTGCTTAGGGTCGTCTGTCCTGTATATCTCATCAGCATGAGCCTGAGATGCTTGGCATACTCTCCTTCTCTTCTGGGAGAAGAGTAGGGGAAAGGATGGTGTAAATATCATGCCAGGTTAAGCTGTAAGACTGGGTACGATGCTTGAATTCTTTTAGATAATTATCAGGGTCCGAGGAGAAGGAGCCAAGACGCTTCTCAATCTGAGATAGACCAGAGAGGGAGAATGGGACACGAACCCGAACAATGCCTTCTGCACCAGCTACTTCCCCTAGAGGGAGTGGAGCAGAGAAAGGAGCTGGGTCCTGCAGTGAAGTTTCCTGCTTTAAAGGTGCTCGGGACAGGGTACAGGGAGGGGATCTAGGGAGGTTGGGGTAAAGCCTTGGGACCCTTGGGTAGAGGGTGGGGCTGAGGTCTCAGAGCTTTTCTCAGGCACAGGCTGGGGAGGGGTTGGGAGCTGCAGTGGCCTGCGCCTGAGAAGGAGGGAGGGAGGTGGGGGCGTAAGGTGGAGGTCGTGGAACTGGATCTGGGGCTGCTACAACAGGATTGGGAGTGATAGTGGGTGGGCTGTGGTCAGAAGAGTAGAAGGAAGAAGAAGAAAAGTCTGAACAGGGATCGGGAGACATTATATTAGGAGGATGTGGCCCAGAGTGGATTCACAGAGAGAGGATCGAGAGTGAAGAGCAAAGAAAGCCTGAACATAAGGGATTTCTAACCACTTGCCATTGCAGTGGCAGAAGTTATCGAGGTCTGGTATAGTGTCATAATCAAGAGTTCCATTTCTTGCCACTGGGACCTGTTATCAAGTCTGTATTGCAGCCAGTGTTAGAATAGTAAATAAGTCTTTTTGGTCTTATCTCCCCTTGGAAGCCCAAGGCTTTTAGGTTACGGAGAAGGCATCCTAGAGGAGTAGGTTTTGAGGGCTGGGATTGAGAATTTCCCATCGCGGCTGAGTACAGAGGTTAGACAAGGGCGAGAGAAAGTGAGGAGAACGGTCCGAGGGAAAAGGTGTCCCCATTCTCAGGACTTGCTCAAAGAGTAATAACAGTCTGCTTTGAAATGGGCATCCCCTATTTCAAAGTCAGACGGGGGTGCAAGGCCGAGGACCCAAGGGCCATGGGAACCTCCCACAGAGTAGGAGAGAGAGGGGATCCGAGAGAATGGGGTTTCACTCACCCTTGTAATCGGTGGATGAAAAGTGGGCAGGTCTGTGGATGTCAGTCCAGCAAGGCAAGTGAAGAGTCCCATCCCAGAGATGGTCTCGGTTTCTCAGAAAGGTCCAAGGGAGGGGACCACTAGAGGTGGGCTCTTGAGAGGAGCCCACCCAGTTGCCATGGATTTTCCTTCCCAGGTTTTGGCACCACAATGTAAGGTGAGTGCAGAGAAAAAGAGCAAGCTGGGCAGTCAGGCAAGAAAAGGAAATTTATTAGAGGGAAAAGAGAGGGTGACTGGCTCTTAAGGAGAACCAGCATTCCCCCTTTCTAACAGAATCCTTCTTATACCCCACCAATGGAAAATTCTCTGATGGGATTATCACGTAGCCAGAGGTCTGGAATTTGGTGGTCTCCCAGCTTTAAGAAGATAGGCAGCAGTGAGACAATAGGATGCCATTTGGGCAATTTGATCAATCTCACAGATCACTGTGATTTATTCTTTGCGAGGTCAACAGAGCCATCTTATCAATGAGATTCCATGTGGGCCCTATCGCATAATAGGCTTGTTCCAAAGTACTGATGCTGAATGTCAGCTCAGAGGCAGCAGCTTGAAAAGTGCATGGGTCATATGGGAAGGAGAATTTTGGACTAACTTTAGGACAAGTGCCAAAGGGGCAAGGATTTGTTGCAACTTCCTCTAGGGATGAAATCACACATTGATGACATTTAAAAAAATCGTCCCTGTAGCCAGCTGGTCCAGTGCTGGCTGGAGACATTTCTGACATTGCCCACTTACCTTCCTAGCACTGCTTGCCCTGCTATGTCTCTGGGTTCCCTGTAGAACACACATATCCAACCCAGTCATGCCCACAACGCTCCTCTAAAATGGCTTCCCCCTCAAGAGCCTGGATTTCCTCCACAAGAGCCTCCTTCCCTTCCACGCACAGTGGGTGGACTCAGCCATGACTTGCATCCCCTCAAGGTGCTCCCACTCCAGGTCAGCTCCAGCCAGAATCACATCTGCAACTGCTGAGGTGGGGCTCACGTTCAGCTCCACTGGTGGCCAACCAGACCCACCACCATGCCCAAAGCAATGATGGTACATCCAACAGGACACCATACTCAGCCTACACAGCCTACCCTGGGTTTCCTGTCTCTGCTGACCTGGAGTGGGTAACTGTTCTTCTGAGCCACACAGGGGACACTCCACATAGGTCCACTCATTCAGCATGGAGACATAGTTCATCTACCTAATATTAATGCACAGAAACAAAAAAGATCAGCAAAATGAGGAGACAAAGAATATATTCCAAATGAACAGCTAAGACATGACCTCAGAAAAAGAATTAAACACGATGGAGATAAATAATCTACTGGTTCATTGGTTAAGATGTTCCTGATAATGTAGGGTACAAGGGTTCAACTCCTGGTCTGGGAACTAAGATCCCAGGCTGTGGGGCAACTAAACCTGCATGTCACAGCTATTGAACTCATGCACCCTAGAGCCTGTGCTCCTCAAGAAGAGAAGATAGAACACTGGGAAGCCCAAACACCAAAACTAGAGTGTAGCCCCTACTCTAGGCAACAAGAGAAAGTCAGTGACACAACAAGACCCAGTGGACCCATGAAATAAGTAAATAAAAGATATTTACTCATCTCAGGGAAGAATGGAGAACAGAGTGAGAACCTCCACAAAGAGGTAATAAGTATAAAATAGAGTTGATTATAATTGAAGAATACAAAAACTGACTTGAAAAATACAGCAGGTGACTCAACAGATTATATGATTCAGAAGGACAGATCAGTAAGCTGAAATACAGAGTAGTGGAAATCACCAAATTTGAGCACCAAAAGAAAAAAAAAGCCATGAAGTTGAGAATAGTTTAATGCATTTGGTGAATAATATCAAGCATAATAACATTTGCATTATAAGGACTCAAGGAAAAGAGAGAGAAAGATAAAAATTCACTTGAAGAAAGAATGACTGAAAATTTCCCTATCTTTGTGAAGGAAAGACACACAGGTCCAAGAAACACAGAAACACCCAATACAGGGTAAGCCAAAGGAGAAACATGCCAAGACACATATCAATCACCTAAGAAAAATTAAACAAATAGAGAAAACATTAAAAGCACGAAGGGAAAAGCAACAAATAACAAGGGAATCCCCATAAGTTTAACAACTGATCTTTCAGAAGAAATGCTGCAGGGCAGAAGGGTATGGCATGATATACTTAAAGTTATGAAAGGGAAAAACTTACCAGCAAGATTACTCTAGCCAGCTAAGTTCTCACTCAGGCTCAAAAAAGAACTCAGTAGTTTTACAAATAAGCAAAAGTTAAGAAATTCAGCACCAGCAAAGTAGCTTTACAACAAATGTTAA